ATCTCGTGCCCAATGGCGTCCGCTGTTGTTGTAGTCCACCTCTTCATCTTCAGAATCAATCACTTCTTCCTCTTTTATGACTGAGAGTGAGCGGTAGAACTGCTTGTTGACCCTTCTTTTTCATTTTTGACCTCTTCATGCTTTTTCTCTTTATCTTCAAAGCAACTACTGAAGAACCTCCTTCTTAAGGTCGTTCAGGTACTGCTGAAGTTTCCTCTTCAGAAGTAAGTATTTCTGAGGGCAAAGACTCAATTGTAGAGGACTCAGAAGCAGCTCGCCTTTGAGGGGGTTGGGTTTCTAAACTCATAGAGCTCTCTATAACATCTGTTATGACAGATGTGTTATGACTCTCAGTTGATGACTTCATATCTCTAGGTAGATGATTAATGAAAATGATTTAGGAGCAGAATGCTTTTATAATGGTTTCTGTGGATACCAAGAGTCTAAAATTAATCATTGTTTAATTATTGGAATAGTAACGACCACTAAGACTTTAAAGCATGCACTATACAAACCTTAATGATTCTTATTACTTGATTACTTTTCCTCCTTGGAAATTGATCATGTAATGACGATATGAGATATATTTATTAGTGATATTTTTTCTTCTTCTTTTCTTTTCCTTTTATTCTTTTTTATGTGACAAAAGGGGGAGAAATAATAGTAAGTATTTAAGTGGAAACTAAACCCATTGAGTACCTATTAAGTTATACATATTGGTCATTTATTTTATTGTCATTTATTTTTTGTTTTTATGGTTACCTTGCCCAGGGCGTATTTTAACTTTCTTGTACATAGTTCTAAGGAAAAACTTACAAACCACTGACTTAGCCTATCGGACCCATAAGGAGCTTGTAAACCTCATACTTTGGTGTTTCTAAAGAAATTTAAAAGGGAAACATATTTTAACTCTCTTGTAAATAGTGTTAACTAAGAGCTTACAAACCTCTGATTTAGCCTATTTAAACTCAGAAGAAGCTTACAAACCTCGTATTCTGATGTTGCCAAAAGAAGTTAAATTGTTGTTATTTTGATATTCTTAAATATGGAACTAAGGGGGAGCTTACAAACCTCAATCTTGAAACTGTTTGACTTAGGGGGAGCTTGCAAACCTCAATCTTGAAACTGTTTGACTTAGGGGGAGCTTGCAAGCCTCAAACTCTGATGTTACTAATACGACTGGTTTATTTTTTCTTGAAAAATAGTTCTTGGTGTTAGAGTCAATAGAACTCAGCTATGGACTATCAGACTCAGGGGGAGCTTACTAACCTCATACCTTGTTGTTGCAGAAAAAATTAAATGCCCAACACAGTCCTTTAAATACTTATGTTTGTCAACATAAAAAAGAGGAATATTTTGTTAGAACAAGATTTGTTCATGACATATTTTCTTTTGGTTTTGATGATAACAAAGTATTAAAAGAATAATGGTTTATTTGATGTGTGTTTTATTTATGCAGGTTCTCATCATTGTACATAAATAATCATAATCTATGTTACATGAACACACTTGAGAGTTGCTTCATTGCTAGTTTCTAGTGGCATAGTCTGAAGAACAATTGATAGTGTGGCTTAGCGCATACTCTGAACTAAAGGCCTCAATATTCAGACGAGTTACTACACTTGATAATTGTATATCAGCATCCGGTACCATTCAGAGTTGGTGATAAAGTTGTGGATTGTCCGTACTGCAGAAAGCAGATTGTATTGTCTTATCAGCATGTCAGTTAGAGTCTACAAGATTGCAAGACTCAAGAAAGGTTGGAATGCTATACAGATATCTGCTCTCAACGAATCTATCAATAAAGAACCTATTGAAGACTCAAAGGCTAAATGTGTTACACACTGGATTCATAATCTGCTATGCATCAATCTTCAACGTCTCTTGTACTATGGGGCAAAGGAAAAGTCACTTGATCAAGTTACCTCTTCAACGGCTAGTTTTTTCAAAGGCTATAAATATGGCTGAAGATTCAATTTTGAATCTTAACGAGAATTCTTCAGATGAAAGAGTTGCAAGATCAAGCAATTATCAACTCTATTGTAATATGTATATTTTCTGTTATAGGTTGTAATTATAAAAGTCTTAAGATTTCTTACTATTGAATATCTTAAAAATTTTAAGAGCATTAGGTCTTTGTTATGGTGATTTCTTGTACCTCTGATACTTGTATCATGTACACCTTGTTCTCTATTCTGTTGAGCCTTCAATAGTTTAGATCTAAGTCTCTTCCTATGTGCTTGATCCGAAGTATTGTCTAGCTAGGATTCAAGCAACAAGTTTTGAGCCAAGATGCTTAAGCCACGTAAGTCTCATTGCTTAAGTGCTTGAGCTGTGAAAGTCTTATTCAGCTAGTCTGATTGAGTAATGAGAAGTCTCCGTCTGAGGGGCGTGAGCAAAAAGTCTCGAGTGCATCTTGAGCACGAGAATTCTCCATCTGGATGGCTAGAAGAGCAAGTGGCTCGGCCAGATGATGTGATTAAGAAGTCTTAGACATGTGCTCTAAGTAAAGAGAAGTCTCAACCTGAAGACATTTAGAGCAGGTGGCTTGGTCAGAAGGTGTGAGTAAGGGAAGTCTTAGACACAAGCTCTAAGCAAGGGAAGTCTCAGACAGTTGGTCTAAGCAGATGAAAAAGACTTATGCAGAAGCATAAACGATTGTAATCATGAAGTGGTTATAATGAAAATCTCTTGTGAGGAAAGGGGATTGAATTACTCTCAGTTAAGGGAGTAACCAGGATAAATCTTTTGTGTCTTCTGTTGTTCTTTTATTTACTTCTGTTACATTCGCTGCCAATGAATTAAAACAGAATCTGAACATCTGTTCTGATTCTGAAACTCTGATCAGAAGTAAAATTAAAAGAAAACGCAAAACACAATTTAACATCCACTTCTTGTATACTTTTCACACCTTCAGTGTAACCTTCTGAGTAATTGGAATACTCGTTAAATATGGTAGGGATACCACCACTTCATGTGATACCGTCGATATTGACATTTGACTTATAACAGGAGCGGTTACTTCAATATATGTTGAAGTTCCCACAACACCAACCGTCATTTCGATTGGTTGTTCTTTCATTTTTGGGGCGACATTTTGGGGAAGGGAAATGTTCTTTGACTTTTTGCTGCCATTTTAACTTTACCACTTCTCAAACGCATACACACTCAAACATTTGTATAAAGAACAAAAAAAATGAAAATACACACAATTTTGTGCAAAAACCTTGAATTAAAATGCACATAAATGATCCCACTAGGTGTGTCAAATTGTTTACTGGTATTTTTAGTAAATAATCATGAGCTTGGTTCACTTAAGAGATTAAACTAGAAATATCTCGAGGACAAATATGTGTGTGGATGTCTTGAGAAAAGTTTGTGCGATTGAAAAAGTGGTTTTGTCTGAATTCGTGAGAAATCAAGAACAACATGGAAATGTGTAGAAAAGTATGAAAAATAAAATAAAAATTCAATCAAAACAAAGAGGATAATGAAACAAACTGAAAGTAAAGTGATTGCATTAACATAAAATTGTACGCATGATCATAAATTTCTCACTGAATCTCTGTGACTTGGATATTGGATTATATAGATAACTTAATGAAATTTGCGGACCCCTAGTCATAGTGAAAAAATTCAACTTATATACAAGTGAAAAATAATCGTCGACAATAGTTATTTTCTCAGCACTGAATATGTTCACAAGTACGTGGGTTACTGACCTCTGCATGTCTTCCACGCGTCTTCAATGTTTTAACTGCTTCAAACCATTCTATATGCTGATAACTGCCTTTAAATCTCTCAACTACCTCTGTCGAGAATCTCCAATCGAACCCTATAGTTGTTGTCGAAGCATTCTTAGTTTGTCTGACTAATAGATTTTAAAACACATTAAATCTTCAATATCTGATGGATGTATCAAACTCGACACTTGTCGAAGTACTGGTTTGTGCAAACTTTTTCGAGATTCTGAACATGTTTTGAAGAAAGAGTAATTATAATCTTGTGAATCTATTCTTCATACTCTTTTAAACTAGATTTAATGCAGTGTCGAGCAATAGGTAAGTGCAACCGATTGATATATTATGTCAATCGGTTACACCTAAGAGTTTTCAATTTTATTTGTTTGATAATTATACCTCATATTATAGTTGTATAAATACCTTAGTTCATTAATGATTAATACAATTAGAATTTCATCCCAATCTCTCATTCTATCTCTCTCCCTTTTCATGCTAAATTATAGTGGTTCCAAGTTTCAACAATGTATTAACATATTGAACTTCCTTTATCGCTGAAAAATGTGTTTGAGTTGCCTTAAATCCGCTAACAAATGTGTTCAAGTAGTGAATAAGTGCTTAGAATTCAATGTGATTTTCAAGTAAAATTTGCACTTATCACCTACTCAACAGTTTGGTGGAGTGGTCATCAGACCTGAATGTTGTAGTAGATTGTTCTATTTATTTTTTTTTACATGGGATGAGTGAAACACTGGTAAACATGACAGAATCAGATTCAAATTTATCACCCTTAAGTGTTGGTAGATGAAATGTGAACGACTGGTACTAGGGTAGCCACAGTCCCGACGACTGAAAAAAAAACAGTCGAAAGCACGCAGAGAAACAAATTCATGCTTGCATGTTTGAGGGATCATGTGCAATAGTTTTGGCCGCAGGTGCAGGCGCCTGCGACGGTAGTTGAGGCTGCTAAAGTCGTGTGAAATTTACAAATTTTCTATCTGGAGACTCAAAGATGAGTATCATTCTCTACCATGTTAGTGATTTATCGTAGATAAATAAAATAACATTGCTTACATATTAAAATGCTGAGAACTATTGTTACATGCTCTAAGGTAAGGAACAAACACAACATTCTACTAGATTACACCATCCTCACAGAACAAACTTAGTCAATCTTTATGCATACTAAGAGACTGTTCTATAAAATCAAGGTAAAACAAATGATTTGTAGATTTTTTCATTGATATATGATTAACCTAATCAAGCTAGCTCAGAAGGCACATAGATAAAAGGATTCCAAGATCCACCAGAACCAAACCAACTATTATTCTCCTCACATTGCACAAACTGTTGTTCCTGCTGATCCATTGTCCAAAACCCTTCAGTATTTGATCCACCAACTTGAGGTAACTGCATGTTCATCATATTGGTTTGATAATTTCCTTTACTATTTAATATCCCTTGATCTATACATGTCATGTCAATATTGGAATCTATCAGTGGCCATGGAAAATTCGATGCGCTTGCAGATGCAAGAAGATTAGTTGTACTACTGTCATGAAGAACATTGTTCATCTGAATAGGCCAAGGATATTCGTTTTCGATTTCGTTGGACCATAACATGTTTGTCATAGATGGTGTTTGAGTTTGAGATATTTCATGATCATGATTTGGGATAATCAAACTCTTGCCGAAAGTGTTCGATGAAGTACTCAACGAGTTAGGTATAGGGTTAGCATGAGTTTCATTCATCTGAGAGAGACAATAAGTAGCTGATGATGTTGATAATGATGATTCTTTCTTCCAGGAACTGTTTTGTGTTGATTTCGAAACTATACTAGCAGAAGGAAATGAAAATGAAAATTTCCCTTCTTTTCCATCACAAAGTTTTGCCTTGAGTGCACCAAGAAGACCTTCAGAACCTGAACCTGATTCACTAACATCTTCAAAAGAAAAAGGCTCAGTATTCTCTAGCACGAACTTAGAACCCGAACCCGAACCCGAGCCGCGCTTAGCATCACCTCCATTTGTTGCAGATTCTGGCAACTCAAAGTTGGTTCTAGCATTAGCACCTCTCAAAGCTCTAGCAGCTGTATCATAAGCACGAGCGGCTTCTTCAGCTGTGTCGAATGTTCCGAGCCAAAGCCTAACTTTCTGTAAAGAGTCTTTGATCTCGGCCACCCATCTTCCCGATGGCCTTTGACGAACTCCTACAAACCTGTGGTGTCCTCTTGATGACTTCTTTCTACTACGGAATCCATTATCAATTACCGGTCCTACCATATTCGTAAACTTCAAGCTATCAGGTTCAAATCCTACGATAAAAAAAAGTCGATATCTCAAAGTGTGCCACTACATTGGGATAAGGAACCTTTTGAGCTTCATTTTAAGATCATTTATGAAATTAAATTTGAAAGCAGCATCATTAACTCTAGGATAATGACAAATCACAACATGTCAAAATATATTACAATTGATGTCACTATTGCAGGCCTTGTTGTTGATATCGACACAGAGTTAATGGTTTTACAAAGGAGACAAGTTATATTGTAAGAAAATAATTTATGTTGTGGAGTTTTTGGAAGAACTAATTATGATATATTATCATCGCATAGCAGTTATGAAAAGGTGACAAACTGATAATCATATGCAAAAGTTGTCATGTTTTGGTTGATTGTATGGTTACATTAAAAAAATGGTTTATTGTCTTCTCCAATTCAGAATTAACAATTGAAAAATGAATGAAGGCAAATAATGACAAATGAATAAGGTTACAATAATCCTTGGCTCTCACGGTAACACCTTTAAGAACGAGGTTGCAGATCCTAGGATAATCAATGTTTGAGGTAACTATAAAACAAATGTATAGGTGTTAGTTATACAGTTGTACTTTTTTGTCTTATTTGATACTTGTCCTTTTCAACCCATTTTCCTTCGTGTATAGACGTGTCTTTTTTTAGTTTGGAAGGGTTGCAAAAGACAGAAGAAAGTTACCACATGAATATACATCAAAATGATATATTAGAAAATAAGAATTATTCATATTAAGATATCAAAATGATATATGAGAAAATAAGTTATTCATATTAAGATATTTCCCTGTCATAATTTTATTTTATTATTGATAACATCGTTTCACAACACAACGCACAACCAAACACAAATTTTTTTATTAAATTTTATGAAAGAGAGAGAAAAAAGAAGAAAAATAAGAATTAGTTAAAATTGTTCTACTATTAACTTTTTCAATAAGGGTTCAAAGATTACAAATGAATACCAACAATTAACCTCTCTCAATAATCTGAGAGAAGTCTATTTATAGACTACTAAACTAACTTAGGCTACAAGCTAACTTAACAATTAGGCTTACAAGCAATGCTCAATTCAACATGCTAACTTAAACACAAAGCTAACATATTTTGACAGTATGATTGAACAGACTTCGACTCCAGCATGCACAACTTCTGTTGAACCATGAAACTATCCTTGTCGACACTAGAGTTCGATCCAAATACTACAAATCTCCACCCTAGGACAAACTCTACACTAATAAGGGAACAAACTAGTTTTTATCATGCAGCTTTATTAACGACATAGAGTGGGAAAACTCGCTACTCTACAATATCTTGGTGATCATATCAGCAACATTATCATCAATCAAAATCTTTAGCACTTGGACTTCTCCACGCTCAATTATCTCTCTGAAGAAGTGTAGCCTCACATCGATGTGCTTGGTTCACTCATGATAGGTTGAATTTTTTGACAGGTGTATTGCACTTTGACTATCACATTTAACAGCAATAACTCGACCTCGAAGTTTCAGCTCCTTAGCAAAATCTTCAAGCCACAATGCTTCTTTCACAGCTTCGGTGAGAGAAATATACTCTACTTCAGTGGTTGATAAGGCAACAACCTTCCGAAGTGTTGCTTTCCAACTAATTGTTGTGTCAAACATAGTGAACACATATGCAGAAATAGATTTTCTGGAATCCATACAACCTGCATAATCATAGTTGACAAATCATTCAATTTCAAATTTTCTATCATCACCACATGCTCCACCATAAATCAAGACTCTGCTCAGAGACCCATTGATGTACCTAAGAATCCACTTTAATGCTTGTCACCGCGCCTTTTTAAGATTGGCCATATACCGACTTATAAGGCTCACTCCATACGTCATGTCTGGCCTCGTACAAACCATAACATACATTAAAGACATATTATACTAACATATGGAATGATATTGATATATACTCTCTCGACTTCAATACTAGGACTTTGAGTCAAACTTAGCTAGTATTGAGGATTAGTCAGTATTAAAACAGACTTTGAATTTGGCATACCAAACTTATCAAGAATCTTCTTCAGGTATGCCTCTTGAGATAAGCATAATCTCAACTAGGGGTGGACAGCGGTCGGTTATGGGTGGGTTCGGGTTCAAAATAGTTAACCCGAACTAATCTACGGTTGAAAAAGTTGAACCCAATTTCACCCAAGACTAAGTTCGGTTTTATCGGTTGGCGGATTATCGGTTTAAATGGTTTATTCGGTTGGGTTGAATCGGTTTGTCAAAACAAACAAGTTTTTAGCATGAAAAACCAAATTTTGACAGCAATAGATGCAACCATGACAATGTTAAAACATCATAGATCACATCCAAATTGACTCAGCAGTAGCATTCCTGCCTTCATATTCAATCCATATCCTTTTTGACAAGTTACCAAATCTGAATTCAAGAATGTTCTCCAAATCTCGTTGCCATTTTGAAGAAATTTCCACAACCATATCCTTCATGTTAGTATCCGAATCATAAACCTCGGCACTAGATAGACTGTCGCCTTCTGCTCCATATCCTCCTACTGCATAAACCAAGCCATTGACTTCTACAACAATTACAAACTTTCAATTAATAATTTTGACAAAAAAAAGAACCAATTTTAGAGTAAAAGGTATATTTTTTATTGATAGATTAAATAGAGGTATATTTTATAAACCACACTTAAACCTAGACTTGCAAGGAGAATTACACTTGCAGGGGGAATTACCTAGACAAAGATCTTGTGTCACAAACCAACAGAGACCCTTATATAACAGCAACTTATAAAAAGTCTTTTGATATGAAACAGAAACAGCAACATGTTCTTGATATAGCAGGCTAAGCATTAAGGCAATTAATTAAACTAACCTTTAAATTTGATTATTAATGAGTTGAGTATAACCCTGCAAGAGAATTTTTCCTTAAAGAATTAGGAGACAACCAAATCATCCATTTCTGCATATAGTATCATGATTTGTAGAACAACCAAATCATCCATTTCTCATAACTTAAATCAAACACACAACAACCAAATAATATCATGATTTGTAGAACAACCAAATCATCCATTTCTCATAAAACAATTTTATTAATTAAGTAAATAAAAAACACCGGTTATCATTTTTTTTAACTCTCATTCTCAGTGTAGTATTTCTGAAAGCTATACCATTTGACTTAGAATTCGAAACATGTAAGTAATTAATTACCTTCTGTTTCGCAGAACCGACTGCTCTACCAACCGACGCTGACCTACACTTCTTTGTTAACTTTTGCTCTTGTTTGAATCTATTTATATCTCTCTCCATGCCATTCTGAAAACAACTCAATCAAAGAAGAAAATTAAAGTCTCATACATGCTTAAAATTTTCAAACTATTGTCATTGATGATTGAAATAAGAGTGACTTACATCTTGGTTTTCGTCTAATACTGGTATTCTTGATGGATAAGCATCTCTTTGAGACATACATCTTGATCCTAGTCTAGCATCCATGTTTTGACCGAAGATTCCACCGTCATTACTTAAGCGCCGCCCGAGTCTAGGTTCGAATGATGTTCTGAACAAATGAGCATGACAGTCTTGGCTCAACCGTGGTCGCATACATACAAATTAACGCAGGTTGGTATTGTCATATTGATCCAGAATTGCCCATCACCATGCTCCTCCAATTTATGTGCTCCATAATAGTGCTGTAACTTGCAAAAAACAGCCCGAAGTAACAGCAGCATGACCTGCAAAATCATTATGCATAACTTAATTTTCATGGTACATAACAAAAGTTCTAAGAAGAATATGAATAATGTTAGTCTTAGCAACCACCACGCACTGCAAATACTTCTCTCGCGCAATCATTGTTCTTCTTCAATCATGGATCTCAGGCTCCGACACGCGATTGTTCGACAATCACCGCGGTGAAAAAACACGAACAAACACACTCTGCCGTCAACCTTCAACAGCCCTGTTTACAACATCGACTGGTGTGAACATCACAACACCACAATAGACTTCCACTTCTTGGTAACCTTCAGCAGAACAAAATTCTGGCTTGTTTTCATCTGTTTCATATGTAAAAAAGGAACCTAATGACCTTTCTATTGAGCAACAACATAAGCATAATTTATCTAAATTGCAGGGGTTGCCTTCTGTTAATTCTGGTCAAACTGAACAGGGTAGCAGTGTCAATCACGGCGCCGTAAAGGATGAGTTTTCAAGAGGTTCTTTAATACTCACTAGCTTACCACATACAACATCTGCTAGCTTGCTCGCATCAGGCTCTGTATCTCAACTAGATCCAACCGGCTCTCTTAGCTCTCAATAACTGCAAACTAAGACCTGCAGACATTCAAGCATTACATTTTTCAGATTATCACAGGATCAAGATAAATATGAAGTCACCAATTAAGGCACAAGCTAGTTTTCATTCAAAAGGATTGAAATGTAAAGAAACTCAAAACCTTGTTTGCCTCATTTCTGAATATTGATCAGGTTGCCCAAGACGGTGTCGTTGCCAAGCCAGAACCTTGTCTTGAAACCATCATTATCCCCTCATGCACATGAAAATAAATGATAAAAGTTGGTTAGTACAAGCAAACCAACAATGATGCACAAAGGCAAATTCACGAAACCACCCACAAATTACGACAAACAGGGCTTACTACAATGGTACAATTTCTGTTAAAAGAAGCAAGAACGATCAAGAAAACTTGCTGAAAATCGTCTCAATTCAGGGTTTCATCACCTAAGTAAACTTGTTTTCCACAATCCCTAGAGAGAGGAAAAAACAAAAGCAAAGTGATTCAAAAACAACACTAGCAAAGTGAAAACTGAATGAAGTAAACTACAAAGAAAGAGAATAATCAATATCAAACTGCTAACCAAATGTGTGATTCACATCTTCCCGTTCTTCGGTAGAACATAACACCGCGATACTGCAAACTCCGCAACCTCGGTCCACGACGACTCTT